GCAACAGCTGTGGAATAATCTTCCACCGGAAATAAAAAATATAAATAACCCCTTTAGATACAATCGGAAACTATTTGATTATTATCTCACTACAGACTATATGCCACACTAAAAAGATTATAGTATGTTAAGGGTTTGATGTATTTTTTATTAACGGTTTTTTTTTTTGGGGGGGGGGGGGGGAGGGGGGAACTTGATGGGGGTTGAAAACTGAAGCTTATTATTGTTAAAAGTGAAGATGTCAGTCGAATGCATTCCAATGTTTGTAACTAATATTTAATTGGTTTTGATGATGTTTATATTATGCAACCTGTAAGACTTACATCATATTTTGAATAGGCTTATTATTATACTCTTTCAAACGTTCAAGTAATGTCAGTATAAATTAGAGCACATTTCAGCATTTGTAATTAAGACTTAGAATTTGTATTTTTTTTTTCCTTCTTCTCTTTTTTGTTCTTTTGTTTCTTTTCTATATTTCTAAAATTTTTAATTGTGCATTCCTCTTTTTATTATTATTATTATTAATTATTATTATTATTATCAACTATGAAATGAGGTAAAAATGAAACATTGTATGAAAGGAGCGGAGTGGAAGGGCAGAATGTTAGACGGGCCTGCGTGCCCAATTCTTAACCCTTTGAAAATAAAGTTTGTTCGTTCGTTCGTTCGTTCATTCTCTCTTTCTCTCTCTGTTCTATTCTTCTGAACTGAAGTCCCTCCTTAACTGCACTCCTCAGTATTTACACGTGTAAGCTCTCTGTGAGTACTTTTTGTTAAGTGAGACTCCCACTCTCATGCACACTTTACACCTTTTCACTGCATACCCAGTCTTGCTGAACACAAATTGGGCATGAATATTTACCCAGGCCGGTTGACAACTTGTGAAAATACTGTCAACTCTTGTCTTAAGTCAACACAGGGTCAAAAAATTGACCCAGGCCGTGTCAACACTTCATTGGTCCCCCAGGTCAACAATGTCCTACTAAAATTAACTTAAACGGTGTTGATACCCCCCCCCCCCTTTTTTTTTTCCCCAAATCGACACGCAAGATAGTGAACAACCATAACTTAACGTAGGCGTAAATAGCCAGGGAACGCGAAGAAGCGAACAATAGAGGTGGAGAAGCAGAAAAGGAGGAAGGGGGCAAAAGAACAAAAAGAAGAAGAAGAAGAAGAAGAAGAAGAAGAAGAAGAAGAAGAAGAAGAAGAAGAAGAAGAAGAAGAAGAAGAAGAAGAAGAAGAAGAAGAAGAAGAAGAAGAAGAAGAAGAAGAAGAAGAAAAGAAGAAGAAGAAGAAGAAGAAGAAGAAGAAGAAGAAGAAGAAGAAGAAGAAGAAGAAGAAGAAGAAGAAGAAGAAGAAGAAGAAGAAGAAGAAGAAGAAGAAGAATAAAGAAGAAGAAGAAGAAGAAGAAGAAAAAAAAGAAGAAGAAGAAGAAGAAGAAGAAGAAAAAAAAAAGAAAGAAGAAAAAAAAAGAAGAAGAAGAAGAAGAAGAAGAAGAAGAAGAAGAAGAAGAAGAAGAAGAAGAAGAAGAAGAAGAAGAAGAAGAAGAAGAAGAAGAAGAAGAAGAAGAAGAAGAAGAAGAAGAAGAAGAAGAAGAAGAAGAAGAAGAAGAAGAAGAAGAAGAAGAAAAAGGAGAAGAACAAGAAGAACAAGAAGAACAAGAACAAGAAGAAGAAGATTATGATGACAAAGTAGAAGCAGGAAAAAAAAAAGTCACCACAGGCATGACAGTTCATGAGGCTAGGACTGGCAGATGCCTGAGTTTGATTCCGCCATGCTGGGATGCGTGTGCAGTTGTGCAATGGTTTTGATTGCTGATAACGATTTTATCTGACTTGTCAGGTCGTTATTGCGGTAGTAATATACCTCCTATTTTGACCTCGACTGGATCTCGAATGTTGATAAAGTACAGGACCTTTGGTGGAGGACACAAAAGCTTTGCGGCATCTTACCATGGTAGGATTAATATGTTGTAAAGTTTTGTAGACAATATGCTAGTTAATGTTTCCTTATGCATGGATTCCTTAATACCGAACTTAACAAGAACAGGGTCAGTCAGAAAAGGTCATATCAGGCAACAAAAATGAACAACATTCGTTGTAGTGCTATTATAAGAATGACGAGAAATCAGACAGTCTGGCCACGTAGCTAGATTATTCCAAAGCATTCCCCCTGTGAAAATGAGGGACCACAATTAGTTGGTGGGCAGAGGTGCCCATAGACCCACTAACTCCTAGTAAACATGTCGTACAAGGCGACGAATTATAGATGCTTCCTTTGAGGTAGAAGTGCATTTGTCTGAGAGGCAAGAAATCAATATTCTGCATACAAATAGTCCAACTGTATACAAAGGATGTGCTAGAAAAACTCAAGATGGGAACAAGATTGCAATTTAAAAGTAGACCCACGACTAAAACTTTCTGTCACAGTTTAAATTCCTTGAACGCTAAGGAGCAGACAAGAGGAAGCAAAGAACCGGATTATCAGGTGTGACTACACACCACAAATAAAAGGAGACCAAATAAGATAGCCAAGGAACCTTCCTTCTTATAGCAGGCCTCCGGGCAGCTAAAAAAGGATCAAACTTGGAATTTTTGTTGGACAACTGGAATTGGAATTGGAAGAAGACAAGACAATGCCTCACAAGGACTTTCAGAATTAAGTGACAAAGAACCAGTAAGTTATCTGTTCTTGTAGCTTTTTGTTCAGTCTGTGCTAAAAATAATCTTTGAAGGCAGACATTACACATTTTTAGTACTATAATTTGTCACTTTATTGCACACACACACACACACACACACACAAAACAGACACACACTAAATAAATCGCCACCTCTGTGCTGAGAACTAGTACTAACACAAACTTATTAGTTTTGTTACCCTAATTTATAAAATGAAATTTTTTCTGCTTGTTTTTCCAAATATTAACGTTTGGTTAAAGTAACGTTAGTCTCCTCACGCTCCACCCATTTACACACTAGCTCACTTATGACTGGTAGTTCTTGAACCTGTCACCTTGACACAAGGTTACGGGTGTGTTCCGCATTGCAGTTGATATCGCGGGTTGTATATTTCGCACGCCAGCTCTTTTAACACTCCGAAAACATGAAGAAACTGGCCCTTAAAAAAAAAAAAAACCTAGAGAGTGCTGCAACCTACGTCACAGGCATTTTCTTTCTCAGAATGAAAACGTAAATGCAAGACAATGCAGAAAGCTAAAAAGAGGGACACACCCGTAACCTTCAGGAAAGTCGACCAACCCAACAAACTTGTGAATGATTTGATTTGATTCAAGAACCGACATCACAGCATCCGGGGCATTCCCATAAGCGCTCCGTCCCCATCTTCAGCAGCTAGCGAAGAGTTCCAATACCAATGATGCCAGTAGCTTTCTGATTAAACGTCCGTCTTGCCTTTCCTCTGAGCTTCGAGCTTCTGCCAGAACCTCTCGTCGCCCCCAACTGCATCAATCTCACCAGACTGTGGTGATTAATCTGCTCCTCCGAATTGTACACGCTCTCCCACAAGGCACTAACCACACCTGCCCTATCCTGTATCAGTATTCCACCAAGTTGTGCTGAGCCAGCCAGTCTGTCCGCCTGTTCATTTCCCAACACACCGGCGTGACCCGATGAAAAAATCCAGACAATACTCTTCACTCGTGTCCTCTGCAGCGAAGCATGCCACTCTGCACGAAGCATGCCTGTCCTGATCTTCCTCAGCATGCTTTCTGAATCAGTTACAATCACGATGTGTGTGTGTGTGTCGTGTTCTCTAGCCAGTGGATAGCTGCAGTGACCACCTCCACCTCCATTCTTAAGCTGGATGTTGTGGTATCATATGCTAGGCTCCCCTGCACCAAACGTTGACCATTAACTTTTGCTAAGAAGCTCCAAGCACTTTTTATGCCTCTTGACACTGAACCGTCTGTGTAAATGATCAAATCCTCCGAGCGAGCATTATCTTGAATTAATTGCTGCATTTCCACCTCTGTGGCACCTGCTGACCAGTCTCTGCATTCCCGGCTCAGCGTGATTATGACTTTACACAGGTCTGACTGCTCAGGTGGCACTTTGACCCACTCTTCTCCTCGCCTAATGTTCTCAAGGATGAAAACCTGTTTGATTGTGTATTCTGCCTCAGCCATCCATGACCTCCCTCTTATCAGCCTCTGACCCTTAACTGCACCCAGAGCTTTATGCAGAGGGTGGTCTGTGTCTGCAGTTACCCCGAGATATGACTTCACCTGCAGCACATTGTGCCTACCTGCAACCGTTGGCAAACCAAGGATGTATCGAATACAGACCACTGGGGTGTCTCTGGTACAACCCAGTATGACCTGCATAGCCGCGTTCTGTTTGTCCATCTGACTCTTTGAGACGGTAAGCAGTCCCAGGCCATAATCCACCACTGACAGGATCAGGTGCTGATGTAGTGTGAAAAGCATACTCTGCTCTATGTCAATTGCAGCCATAGTCTTAAGTGCACTAAGTCCTTTTTGGCATCTCGTCACAATACTCTCCACATGATCCTTAAATGACAGGCTCCTGTCAAATGTAATTCCTGGATACTTCAGTTGATACTCTCTCTGTTGACGTCTCTACTATCTATCGTAAGACTTGGGACATTAGTTTTAACGATTCTGTTGTCCAGAGAACACCACAAAACAGACGCCTTTTCCGGGTGGACGACAGCTCTCATTTATGTACACCACTCACTTGTGAATGAAAAGTTGCCTACTTTGGTGAAATTTACGTGAACCTGCAAAAGGATTTTTTCTAATTTCCTGCATTGTTTTTTTTTTTTTTTTTCATACACAGAATGCAAAATGACGATATAAACGTAAGATAACTAAATCGTTTCTCAAGAGCTATAAATGGATATGAAATAGGAAATGAATGAACCAAAAATTTCACGCAGGAACTTAACAGTTAAAGAGTTATTGATAGATTTTTTAATGCGTTAATAATAATTAAATATATTGTTTAAGAAATCAGTTTTACATCTCAACAGTAACATGTGGAGGCGAGATCTCCAAAAATGAAGGACTGCTAGTCAGCCCAAACTATCCTCGCAAATATCCCAACGACCAGACATGCGTTTGGAAGATAACTGTGGAGGACGGATTTATTATATCCGTCAGGTTTGACTATTTTCTTGTATGTGGCTATTTTCCTGTGTTTAAAAAAAAATATTATTGAGTTATTTTAGCTATATTTCTAGTGTGTTATTGTGTTTGTATAGCTTTAGAGCAAAACTTAGTTAACATTAAACAGCTGAAGAAGACGCTCTTTTAACATAAACACATGTTAGTTCAAGCAGGGATGTGTGTTACAGCTATCAGTCCTCTGGTTGAAGTCACTGTGGAGTAGCTGCTAAAAGCTCGCCTGAGGGTCTAAAGGTCATGGCTTCGTGTCCAGATGAAGCTGCTTTTTCATTTTTTTTTTTTGGTTATTACCTTCACTCACAGCTTTGAGTTGGCGCCAGATGCAGTGCTGGCAAGTAAAGACGGCAAGCGTGATGCAGACCACATGACCTACCAAGTAAAGACGGCAAGCGTGATGCAGACCACATCACCTACCAAGTAAAGACGGTAAGCGTGATGCAGACCACATCACCTACCAAGTAAAGACGGCAAGCGTGATGCAGACCACATCACCTACCAAGTAAAGACGGCAAGCGTGATGCAGACCACATCACCTACCAAGTAGAGACGGCAAGCGTGATGCAGACCACATCACCTACCAAGTAAAGGCGACAAGCGTGATGCAGACCACATCACCTACCAAGTAAAGACGGCAAGCGTGATGCAGACCACATTACCTACCAAGTAAAGACGGTAAGCGTGATGCAGACCACATCACCTACCAAGTAGAGACGGCAAGCGTGATGCAGACCACATCACCTACCAAGTAAAGACGGCAAGCGTGATGCAGACCACATGACCTACCAAGTAAAGACGGCAAGCGTGATGCAGACCACATCACCTACCAAGTAAAGACGGCAAGCGTGATGCAGACCACATCACCTACCAAGTAGAGACGGCAAGCGTGATGCAGACCACATCACCTACCAAGTAAAGACGGCAAGCGTGATGCAGACCACATCACCTACCAAGTAAAGACGGCAAGCGTGATGCAGACCACATGACCTACCAAGTAAAGACGGCAAGCGTGATGCAGACCACATCACCTACCAAGTAAAGACGGCAAGCGTGATGCAGACCACATGACCTACCAAGTAGAGACGGCAAGCGTGATGCAGACCACATCACCTACCAATTAAAGACGGCAAGCGTGATGCAGACCACATCACCTACCATGTAGAGACGGCAAGCGTGATGCAGACCGCATCACCTACCAAGTAGAGACGGTATGCGTGATGCAGACCACATCACCTACCAAGTAGAGAAGGCAAGCGTGATGCAGACCACATCACCTACCAAGTAAAGACGGTATGCGTGATGCAGACCACATCACCTACCAAGTAAAGACGATATGCGTGATGCAGACCACATCACCTACCAAGTAAAAACGGTATGCGTGATGCAGACCACATCACCTACCAAGTAGAGACGGTATGCGTGATGCAGACCACATCACCTACCAAGTAGAGACGGTATGCGTGATGCAGACCACATCACCTACCAAGTAAAAACGGTATGCGTGATGCAGACCACATCACCTACCAAGTAAAGACGGTATACGTGATGCAGACCACATCACCTACCAAGTAAAAACGGTATGCGTGATGCAGACCACATCACCTACCAAGTAAAGACGGTATGCGTGATGCAGACCACATCACCTACCAAGTAAAAACGGTATGCGTGATGCAGACCACATCACCTACCAAGTAAAGACGGCAAGCGTGATGCAGACCACATCACCTACCAAGTAGAGACGGCAAGCGTGATGCAGACCACATCACCTACCAAGTAAAGACGGTATGCGTGATGCAGACCACATCACCTACCAAGTAGAGACGGCAAGCGTGATGCAGACCACATCACCTACCAAGTAGAGACGGTATGCGTGATGCAGACCACATCACCTACCAAGTAAAGACGGCAAGCGTGATGCAGACCACATCACCTACCAAGTAGAGACGGCAAGCGTGATGCAGACCACATCACCTACCAAGTAGAGACGGCAAGCGTGATGCAGACCACATCACCTACCAAGTAGAGACGGCAAGCGTGATGCAGACCACATCACCTACCAAGTAAAGACGGCAAGCGTGATGCAGACCACATCACCTACCAAGTAGAGACGGCAAGCGTGATGCAGACCACATCACCTACCAAGTAGAGACGGCAAGCGTGATGCAGACCACATCACCTACCAAGTAAAGACGGCATGCGTGATGCAGACCACATCACCTACCAAGTAAAGACGGCAAGCGTGATGCAGACCACATCACCTACCAAGTAGAGACGGCAAGCGTGATGCAGACCACATCACCTACCAAGTAGAGACGGCAAGCGTGATGCAGACCACATCACCTACCAAGTAGAGACGGCAAGCGTGATGCAGACCACATCACCTACCAAGTAGAGACGGCAAGCGTGATGCAGACCACATCACCTACCAAGTAGAGACGGTATGCGTGATGCAGACCACATCACCTACCAAGTAGAGACGGCAAGCGTGATGCAGACCACATCACCTACCAAGTAAAGACGGTATGCGTGATGCAGACCACATCACCTACCAAGTAAAGACGGTATGCGTGATGCAGACCACATCACCTACCAAGTAAAGACGGTATGCGTGATGCAGACCACATCACCTACCAAGTAAAAACGGTAAGCGTGATGCAGACCACATCACCTACCAAGTAAAGACGGCAAGCGTGATGCAGACCACATCACCTACCAAGTAAAGACGGTATGCGTGATGCAGACCACATCACCTACCAAGTAAAGACGGTATGCGTGATGCAGACCACATCACCTACCAAGTAAAGACGGTATGCGTGATGCAGACCACATCACCTACCAAGTAGAGACGGCAAGCGTGGTGCAGACCACATCACCTACCAAGTAAAGATTGGTCTGTAAAATATAGGTCTCGACCTCTATTTCCAATGCGCCTGAAGGCGGGGAAGAGGGTCCTTCCCTGTACTTTTCTTTACTAGTCCTCGGTTAGCACGATTTTTTTTAATTTTTGTTAACACAAACCTGATTTTCTGTCCTTCGTATTCGTGCTAACGGGATGTTACTTCATTTTGATTTTATCTATAGTATGTTTCAAAACTCGTGATCAGACACTTTAACAAATATCTCGAATATCAATACGGATCAATAAGAATGTTTGCATGTGGCCTTAGATTTCCCATGTATTTAAGATTTTATCAAATACTACTGCACAGATGCTTTTGTTTTTTAGAAGCGGCTTACTTCTTTGATATTTGTTAGACTAATAACTGATATACCCCTAATATAACAATATTACAAATCCCTGTTGTTATAAAGAAGACGTGATGCTTTTGACATTGTAATATTTGTTCTCTTTTTCACCGCTGTTGGCCTCGATAAGTTGGAAGATGTGCTCACCTGCGAGTTCGACTATCTGGAATTTCGCAACGGTCTAGACGACACGTCGCCGATCTTAAACAAATACTGCGGAGATAGAATACCTAGCGTCATTAACTCTACGACAAATCACTTATACGTGAAGTTTGTCAGTGATTTTGCTCTGAATACGTATGGATTTTCAGCTTCCTTTGCTAAAAGTAAGCATTCTATTTTCTTAATGTAATATTACCTAAAGCACTGTATATTTTAGCTGGCTGTTACAATAGCCGCCCTCGTGTATCTATATTCTCTTCCTGTCACAGTTGACACATAGGGCATTCACAAGTTATCCTCATTGCTGCCGGTCTAATGCTTTTCTGCCCATGGTATCCTATGTCAGTTTACATTCCCTCATTTCCCGTTTTTTGTCCTTTTCCAGGTTTCCTTAGGTCGTCCACGTCTCCTTTTCCCTTCTGCTGTCCACCGGAGAGCTGATTTTGCCAAAGTGTCACAAGACATGCTGCAAACATGTCCAAGCCATCTCCATCGTCTTACTTTGATAACGTTTGCCAGTGATCCACATTCTGTTTTCCTCCTCAGTTTTTCATTTGTGATCTTGTTTGGCCACATTTTTTGTAGAATTCTCCTTAAACATTTATTTTTAAAAGTCTTAAGTTTATGTGTAATTCCCGCTGTCATTTTCCAACATTCATAGTTGTATAATAGTATTCCTAAAATGTTGCTCTTGAATATTCTGAGTTTTGTCTTCATACAAAATTTCTTTAACTTCCATACATTGTTAAGCATGGCAAATGCTTGACTTGCGTTGTTTATTCTTGATGTTACATCCCTTTTATTATCTCCATCTGTATTAACTTTACTTGCGAGGTATATAAACTTTTCAACTTCCTTTATTGCTTCATTATTTAAGACAATTGGATTTCTGTTTTGTAATTATGTCTCATTACTTTAATTTTACTGGTGTTTATTTTGAGTCTTAAGGGCTGTTGTTTAAAGTCTTTCAATCTTTTCCTGAGCGTCCACATGACGGCTTGATATAAGGCTGATGTCATCTGCATAGTTCAAATCCTCTAAAACAGAGGTGAGTGACCACCTGATGCATCTTTTCCTATCTCGTGTAACTTCCTTCGTCAGCCAGTCAACAGCCAAATTGAACCAACAGTCGGATAGTATGCATCCCTGTCTAACTCCTGTGACAAAAAAAAAAAAAAAGAAACTTTCTTTTGAATGATTATCATAAACTAACTTGCATTGAAACTCTAAGTAAATGGCTTTGATAAAATTTACTATTTTCGTGGGTACATTATAGTGACGCAAAATCTTCCATAGTGATTCCCTATGCAGGTTTTCAAAATCCACAAAGGTCATCAAAACTGCCCTATTCCATTCGTTACTTTGTTTAATTATTTGACGCAGCGTGAAGATGTGATCAATACATGACTTCCCCTTTCTGAATCCTGCTTGCTTTTGCCTTATTATACTATCAAGTACTTGAGTCATTCTTTCAAGAATTATCCGAGAATGATTTTACTTGTTACTGATAGTAATGTGATACCTCTCCAGTTGTACAGTTTCCTAAATCTCCTTTCTTTGGTAGTTTAAAAAAGTACCCTTTTTCCACTTCTGTGGAATTTCTTCTTTGTTTCTGATTTCTTGAAAATCTTACACAATAGTTTTGGCGTTTCAATTTCCTCCACTTTCAGCATTTCTGGGCAGATTCCATCACAGTTATATCAGCAAGTACAGGTGGGTCTGGACAGTTAAAATTTTTACTCTTTGTTTTTAGAGGTAAATTTTGGTGCGATACCACACTTCCTTTCAGTTTCTTAATTATGTTGTACAATGTTTTAATGTCCTGCCTATTTGCTGCTTTATGAGGGAAGAGTGTTCACTCAATTATTAGGTCACTAGATTGGCTGAAGTCACATAATCTTTCTCCGTTGTTGGTCATTTTCGCTGTTCCATATTTTCCCATTGTTCTCTTCCTCCCTGCGTTTTCCTTTCCTACCTGAGCATTAAAGTCTCCCAGGATTAATAATACATCATGCTTTGGGATGTCTTTTACTACTGTTAGCAGACTGTCGTAAAATAGTCTTTTGTCTGCATCCTCTGTTGGTCGGAAGAGACCAAGACAGACAATTTTGCCAATTTGAAACCTTGCATAAAAATGTCGTTCGCTTACTGGCTTCCATTCTGTAAGAGTGTTATTGATCTCCCTTTTTAGTTGTTAATGCGACTCCTTCCGTATATTGTTCATCATCTCTCTACCTGACTAGATTATGCTGTCAGCTGTATTGAGGTTTCTTTTTCCTGTCCCTGTCCAACATGCTTCTGTAATTGCTAAAATATGTACATTGTGTAGGTGCATCTCATGAAGAACTTGTTCCACTTTTCCAGTTTGATACAATGTTCTCACATTCCAACATTCAACACTTGGGGTGTTTTTGGTAGAAAGAAGATTCACTGTCTGGCTGTTGACTTTCTTTTGGCTTTGATCCCCCGTCGTCATTTCACCAAATATCTGGCAAGCTTCACTTCTTTCCACCGGTTTAATGATTTCACTTGATCCTGTTTCCGTAACAAAGTATTTTTTTTTTTTTTTTTTTTGAATGGTAATGGGTTGTCAACCCTTTGCCCAACTCCCAACCTGGAGGGCCAGGGTGTTGTTCGGCATGGTTAAAAATGTCAGGGGAACAAGTCCCCTGCCGGCTTAGCTCTGAGAGTCATTAGAGTAATTAAGCCATCCAACACGACAAGGCACCAGCAGGAATGTTCCTCGTGTAAATAAATGTTTTTAGAATAGCCCAGACAAAAGCAACATTTTTATACCGGATGAAGAACATACTGTGGAATGTATGTCAATCATTTTCACGTAAAAAAAAGCAAGTTCTAAATAGCTATATTTGTATTTATTCCTGGAAAAGTGTGATAAATATTTTAGCTCAATGTGGGTGTTCCGCTGAAGATGAATTCGCGACAGGCCCGGCAAGTCGGCGTAGGATTCAGTAAAAGTCACGTATGTGAATAGAAAGCAATCTGCATTTTTTTTTTTTTGGGTAACATCATCGGTAAGGTGAAATGAGTACACAGTGACAACAGTTTGAAGGGGAGGAGAGGCAGGACCTAAAAAGAGAGGGGCAGAGAGAGAGAGAGAGAGAGAGAGAGAGAGAGAGAGAGAGAGAGAGAGAGAGAGAGAGAGAGAGAGAGAGAGATGTTTATTTATCATCATGATCTGGAGAACCATGGTATCGTAAATAGTACACCGTGCAGTTCCTATTAGCTGTGTTATGCAGTTTAAAGTGTGAACGAAGACATTCAGGCAAAGCTAGAGAAATATGGTTTCTGAGACAAATCCTGTGTATACCTCAGTCAGTGTGAAAATAAACTACAACAATTGCGTAGCTAAAGCTAATTATTATGGAATATTAATATGTAACAACATTATATTATATATATGCATACATATATATATACGTGTGTGTGTGTGCTGTCTGTATTTAAAAAAAAAATATTCTACGTGTTTATTACATGCAGGTTTGTATTCCTTGACCGGATAAGCACATGATGATGGTGAAATCGAATTTCTGGATCTAAAGGAATGATTGTAGTTCAGTTTCCACCTGTATCTAGGTTGGCTCTAATAGCGGACGGTACATCGCTCTAGAGAAGGCTGTACATAAAACGACACGGGTGGTGAAGTGCACGACTTTCAAAAAAACTGCTTTTGAAAAATACATCTGTTTTGTTTGTATTCATGTAGTATGGGTGTGTGAGCCTGTGTTAGCGTATGTGAGAAGAGAGGGAAAATATTGATGAATACATGTTTTGTGTGTGTGTGTGTGTTTAGGTATTGTGTGTATGTGTGCGTGTGTATGTTTGATGGATATCGACGTGTAGTGAAGATTTCGTAGCAGATATAATTGCTTTACTTTCAACAAGAGTCTTACCTCAACAACGAAGAGAGCAATGGCAAACTAATAAAAGTTGAATTGCTTAGTAAATCACAAGCAGCCAACAACTTTCGGTTTTGATTGTTAGGTCTTGTAAGTTTCACATAACGAAGTTTTGTTCTTCAAAATTTTGCTATCAGCCTGTTTAAACGAAACGTATTGTGGATGATGGTGATAGTAGCAGCAGCAGCAGTAGCAGGAGTGGAAGCAGTAGTGACAGTATTACTGTACTGGAACCATACATTTTTGCTGTAGTATTTTTGATACATTCTCCGTAATTCAGGGAGACAGGTGGCGCCAGTAAACAGAGCAAAAGCTGTACACTCGTCGGACTCACTGATGACGGCGAAACAGAAGGTGGATACTTGACATGCAGATGTTGGGTACGTAGGAACGTCTGAATATATGATTATGAATTGACAAGGACGTTGTTGAAAACAAAATTTGATGCTGAACACGAGATGAGAACAATATGATAGCTGTCTATAAGAAATAATAGTAATGGACCCGTTTTATGTCTTTTGGGTATCGGCGTAAAGAAGTATTGGACATATAGGGCTAGACATATATTTTGTAGACCAATCGGAAATTGATAGTTGATGTGGTTAACATCACGCCGACTGCCTTCACTTACCAGGACTTTGAAAGGTACCCACTAATGGTGGGGTCGACCTGAGAGCCACTGTCATTTTTTCAGAAGAACAAATACAAAAAGTCAGTCTCTGTCAGAACCCGAAATACACACAATTCCAATCCCCAGGTGAGCCACTAGCCGCTACACAACAGTGTCTCACATCGTCCTATATTACTAGTCTTAAACTGTATACATCTATCGGCACTGGCTTGACGATAATGTCGCTGTCAAGACGTCTACTTTCCGCACTGGCTTGATGATGTTGTCAAAGTCAAGACGTCTACTTTCAGCACTGGTTTGATGATGTTGGCGATGTCAAGACGTCTACGTTCAGCACTGGCTTGATAATGTTGTCAATGTCAAGCCGGCTTCTTTCAGCAATGGCTTGATGATGATGTCAAAATCAAGCCGGCTACTTTCCGCACTGGTTTGATGATGTCAATGCTACGCCTGCTTCTTTTAGCACTGGCTTTATGATGTTGTCAACGTCACGTCGGCCACTTTCAAGGACATTACCCGGGACTGATTTAGGCTGACCGGATCTGACAGTCAAAGTCAGTTTTGAACAAAAACGGAGGAAGGGGTGTAAGGGGGAGTACCCTCTTATGTGGATTTGAAACCTTGACCGTCAAGCGAGATGATAAAATCCAGCCCTATGTTACCAAGACTTGTATGACATAATGGATCCGATATAAGCAGCAGCAGCAGCAGTTTGAAACAGGTAATGCATGATCATCAGAAGGCTAAAAAAAAAGGAACAAAATAATCATCGACACTCATCCACTACACAACGGTGATACTCATGTAAGCCTGCGTCGACCTAGAATTTTGAGAAACAATCGTCCAATCCGTTTGGATTGGAACCCGCGATCTTCTACCCGCAAGCAAACATTCAGCTACAACACAAAGGTGGCTCCAATAATGATGATGAAACCGATTGTGGAAAACAAGAATAGACGCACTGCCTGCCCAACAAACATGTCGTAGGAGTCAACAAACTGGGGGCTCCTTTCGAAGTCGGAGAGGAGAATAACCAACTTTCTGCATTCAAATACGTCAGATCTTTAAAACTTAGGTGCACACAATACTCAGGTTGTGGAGCAACATTGAAGTCAAGAGGTGGAAAAACAACCAGAACTTTCCGCTGGAGTTTACAGAAAGATATTTTCTTTACACGGTTGGGGGAAATAGTGGGGGAGAGAAGAAGTAGGAATGGAGGCGAAAGGGAGAGGGGTGCCTTTGTACTCTTCCAAGGGAGAGGGGTGCCTTTGTACTCTTACAAGGAAGAGGGGTGCCTTTGTACTCTTACAAGGGAGAGGGGTGCCTTTGTACACTTACAAGGGAGAGGGGTGCCTTTGTACACTTACAAGGGAGAGGGGTGCCTTTGTACACTTACAAGGGAGAGGGGTGCCTTTGTACACTTACAAGGGAGAGGGGTGCCTTTGTACACTTACAAGAGAGAGGGGTGCCTTTGTACACTTACAATTGAGAGGTGTGCCTTTGCACACTTACAAGGGAGTGGGGTGCCTTTGTACACTTACAAGGGAGAGGGGTGCCTTTGTACACTTACAAGGGAGAGGGGTGCCTTTGTACTCTTACAAGGGAGAGGGGTGCCTTTGTACTCCTACAAGTGTTATAGGAATGAGTTAGAGGAACTTGCTTACTGCCCCTCCCTCCTAATTCTCCTGGCTCCTCCTCCACTCCTTCTTCTTCGTCTTCTTCTTTGTTCACCGGCTGTAAGCTCTGGCGGAAAGTCCTGGTTATTGTCCATTTGAAGTTTAGCTTTATGGCAGGACCTGAGTTTGCGTGTTTACATCCTTTTTGTTTTTTTAATTGGCTTTTTTGCAGTTGGTTGTTCCGCATCACTCAAAGATGTACTCCGGCTTAGAATATGGAACCAATAAATCTACTCCTACGACATGCTTTGTGGGGAGACAGTGGGTCTATTCTTGTTTTTCCCACAATGAAATAGCGAACCCACACAAGGACCTCTGGCACAATGGACCTAAGCACACAACCCCACCCCTCCCTCTCCCTGTTTCGACACCTTTGTTAGCACAGTACTCGAATTTGGGCATTCATGTATACAGGAGCTGTGGTTTGAGTAGGCAAAACGAAGCATGTATGTTGTTCTTTTTCATTTTTTAGTATGCTCAGATCATGTCATCAAGTGGGTTGCCTCTATGATGTCAGTAGCAGGTCTTTCATTCTTCCCCATGGCTTACTCTGCACGTTTTGCTCTTGAGGCCATGTGTCTTTTCGAAGATGTATGTAGAGTGGGCAGATCTGCTGAATGTGTTCAGGTGTTTGTGATCCTGTTTAACAACACACTGTGGGCACTGTACAGTCTTTATTTTATGTATGCGGTAGTTGGGCCTGCAGTGTCCTGTTCGTAGACGGAAAATTGTTGTATGCTATTTCTGCTGCTGCTGATGGGGTCTTAAAAATGTTTACTATTATATGTCCATTTGGGTCTTAGATGACAGTTGTAGACATGTTCAAGAGTCTTTGCATGCAGTACTAGGTCACATTCTTCAGCCTTTCTGTCTATGCCTGGAATTGTTGTTGTGACTGTATATTTTGGCTGTAGGTCTGCATCGTTTCCTGTGTTGAAAATCTTGAGAAAGGATGTCACTGTTTTTTGTGTAGTACAATTTTGATAGATGACGAAAGCTATGTCTTTTCAGTCGGTTTTATTTAGTTTTTGTTATTATTATTATTATTATTATTTTCTATTTTGTGCATGGGGATTGTGGTTCATGTGCCTAAATTATTATGTTAGGGTAAGCACATTTGCTTCCCTTCGAATGCTCAAGCTCTAGAGGTCAGAAGTTGCCTCCACCTCATAGATTAACGTGCTTCTCATACCTCCAGTGATTATTCTAAGACCAGTGTTCTGTATTTTGTCCAGTTTATATTTATTAGGTTCGATTTGGCTGCAGTGGATTATGCTCGAATGCCAACTCCAGTTTTGGTTGTACGTATCTTGTCGCACAGTATTGGCATCTGCACACCAGCTTGTTCCAGTAAGTAAGTATGTATATAAAGCACAAAGCAAGGAGAAGGACTTTTTACCTCACTGATTCTCTTCCTGTGTTATGTGATCCTATGTCAGTAGTATTTTCCAACGGCAGTCAGTTTGATTGTAATACTCAACACGATAAATTTAATCTGCAAGGTAATTTACCATTCCAAGATATTGATGTAAAAGTTTTACTTTAAGTATTAAACAACTTACCGTATGTTCCAGGTTCATCCAAAAAATACGATGCTGTCCTTGCTGTCTTCTGTCACGTTAGCATATTATATTAACTCTTTGTATCTGATTATTAGTTTAGATACTGTCTTACTTAAGTGTCTTTATTTAATCCCTTCAGACCTAAGTATTTATTTGTTTTAACCTCGACTTGAAAAAAAAGTGTTAAGTAATTAACGCGTGATACTGAATTGGTTTAAAACCAAAACACAACAATGTCAATTCACAAAAGGTTTTGCTTACCCATTTTGGTGTCTCTATACAGGCTAGGTCTCCTTCTTGCACCAATTGCCGAGATACAAATGCAGCTAAACCTCATTTACACGAAATCGCTTGACTGAGAAGAACACAAGACATGTGTCCGACGCGTCACGTGACAGCACTCCCTGTAAAGGTGTTTTCACTTGCCATGGATATTATACAACTTGAAATCGACAACTGTGGGGTACGGACATTATTCATCTCAAACCATTGAAATGGCACCATAGGTTGCACAAATCAAAATTAACAATGCATAGGTCGACTAACAAACACAGCAACAATTACGAATAGAGTAGACCATAATGCTTTGTCTAGAATACACAAATATTCAAGAAAGGTATTTAATTGGTAAGTTTCAGTGTGTATACATCATTCACATAAATAAACAAGGGAACCCTTTAGGCATTATAAATATTTTAAATATGATAAACAAACAATGTATTGATTGACACTCACAGAGAAAGTAGAAAGACAGAAGATACACACAACAACATAAAAATTGAAAATATGCCAGATGCGCCTAACGCGTGAAAAAGGATCTTTACTTTACTGTATAGTTTTTGTAGTCAACAGTTTACTGGTTCATTCTCTCTCACACCTGCCTGTTCAGACAATATATCCACGTAAGTCACTTTCTTTATTTTGTAGTAACCATGAAAGCCACAACTCCTTTACTCATACATGTCCCAATACGTAGTCATTATCATCGATAATTACATTTTATCTTATACAGATGGCTTAACGAGTTTTGAATATAAATAAATCGTCTACTAATAGTTGTGACGTGGCGTTACCACACACCGACACATATTGCGTTTCAAAGTTTTAAATGCGACTTTTAACATTAGAGAGTGACTTAATTTGACATTAACGTACAGTGGTACTTGTACTTTGAACAAGAGTATCTTTTTCAACCTCTACGAGTTATAATTTGGGTAAAAACAGTGTTTTCTATTTCAGTACTTGATATGGATGCCTATCAGTTGTTTATGATTAATCAAATTTGCATAGCTTACATATTAATTGTTACAATTGTGGGAATAGAGAATGCCAAGTTTAACGTATTTGAAGTGTACCTTTAAAGGTCGGCATCTGGGACTTTGATGTTACCAACGTGTTTCGTATTTCCCAGGTACCCAGTCCGACTCCAGCTGCCAGGTTTTGCGCAGTAGGCAGCCTTGCGTTGATTTTGACAGTGTATTGAAAGCCGACTATTGAGAAAATAAAGGCAAACAGTCAGCGTAAATTGCCAAGTAAAAATACAAATAGCTAACAAATGCCTAGGTTGGTTCTGTAATGCACTGTAAAGGAAAAGCAACCAACTTAACCTTTCCAGCAATTGTGAAAATCAAATGGAGATATTTACGGATTTCTGAAATACCGTTATTTTGTCATAAGATAGAGAAGAAGAAAACAAAATACTGTACATTAGGAGGCCACCGATCTTCAGTAGCAGTTCCCCCCCCCCCCCACCCCCTCACAAATTCGACAATTGTATTGGCCCTTTAACTCTTAGTCAAAGTCTTGACTCGGGTAATGACTTCCGGGGATCGGACTTCTCCTGCTGTGCCTACCAGACGAGACATGTTACTAGCCACAGGTACCGATGTTGTGGTATCGTTGCTTGTGAGTGGTAGCGAATTTACAGCCTGCATACACAAGCTAGAGTGACAAATGGACGGTTGGTTGATCGGACAGATATCGATCGGACAGACTGTAGCATAGCAGTCGGCAGCTGCTCAGACAGACGTTTATTGGTAAATTTTTAACTTTCAGAGACTTTAAAGTTCTTTTTGACTAAGGACTTGGACTAACCAGCTGAGGCCTATTCCGCCACGTCGTTTGGGTTACTCCAGAGCAAGCTAGAAGCTTTTTCTGCTGTTACTCTCAGTTGTAGCAGTGCCTGTTTACCCTCATTTCCTGCTTCAGGACGCTGTTAGCGACTAGGCCTGTTTGATTAAAACCTTACATACTAACCTTTGTTCCAGTAATGTACTATTTAATAATTTCCTGTATACTCTAGAACTCCTTCTCCCATAATGTTTTTGTCCCTAAAGTTTTATTACAACGGGTCATATTTAAATATTCATGAGGGAAAGTCATTACCGTATGTCAATGTATGGATTTTCTCGACGAAGACGTTTGTGGCATGGACTCAGTTATATGTGTGCAACTACATAGCGTTTGTGTGTGTGTGTGTGTTATAGGTGCACCTTTGTGCAGCAGTGTACATTTTACTCATCGGCGTTAAATCAGATGTTGAAAGAATAGAAAAATAGTAGAATGTAACAAAAAAAGAGCCAGGACGTTACTGGTGGACACAGAGGTTGTGTTTATTTACCCGTATAGTCATGAGCCGTTAGTCGGGGCTCCAACATCCCCCAGACGGGTCGCCCCCTAACTGATCCATTCCTCTGCCAGTGGAAATCACAGATAATTACCTTTACCATTAAAGGGTGGAGAAAAACTTGTCAGTCAGTCTCAGAAATATTTTAAAGATTACGCACGCAAAGTAAAAATGCCTGAGGCAGCTTTCAGATGTGCGAACATTAGCTAACAGTCCAATGCTAGATCTGTAGCTGACTGATGTTGCAAACGGTCAGTCACGAAAGCGCCCATTGCACCCTAGTGCAAAACTACACGCCTTTCTAAACGTAATCAACACCCATAATTACAGTGCAGTCAACAACACCCCCTGGAATAAGATTTTAACAAAAATATTCTACATGACATGCTTAGCTCAGATGGGTCACATCAAGCCCTAAGCCCAGTGGCGGGGCTACAGAGCCAATATACTTCCTGACTAGAAATGGGGAATTTGCTCAGAAATACCTAGCTGGATACACATAACTGTCAAAGCGTAAACTGTTAGCTGGCTATCCGCCATTCAGACCAACAGCGAGACCTGTTTGAAGGTAATAAAGTCAACATCGATAACGCCGACGACCTAATGAAAACCTGTTAGATCATATATTCAATTACTGCAGCGACAAGTCTATTATTTTCAAGTAGTGTTCCGTTGAATATTCCTATCAGGGGGTGCCTGGCGAGCTTCTTTACAGCAGACCTAACAAACATGATAGAAAACTGGCATCAGAATATTAACGAAGATAAAATAGCTGGGTGCGTGTTTATAGACTTTAGAAAAGCCTTTGACATGATAGACTATACCATCCTTATTAGAAAACTAGAAATAATGAACTTCAATTGTAATCTATTCAGGTTATTAAAATCCTTTCTGTTAATTAGGAAACAGGTAGTTTCATATAATAAATCCCTGTCGCAGACTACTGTGGTGAATACTGGAGTACCCCATGGCTCTATTCTTGGCCCTCTGTTATTTGTTATTTATATAAATGATCTTCCTTTATGTCTGTCGTCGCAGTGTGACTTATTTGCAGACGACTGTACAGTCTATACAAGTGCTCAAACGTGTGATATTGTAGAGTTATCTTTAAACAGGAATTAAACAATGTGGTTTCCTGGAGCAATACAAACAGCATGCAAATAAACATTAGTAAAACAAAATGCATGTTAATATCAACAAGACAAAAACTTTATTCTTTGCACATAATACGCTTCAACTCTACATCAGTAACAACCCTGTATAATGTGTAACTGAGCACAAAGCTTTAGACGTAATTATTGATAGAAATGTAACCTTCACTTCTCATGTGCAAACTCTATTGAAACAAACAGCTAAAAAAGTATAACAGCTTGCAAAAATTGAACACTTTCTGGATGAAAACACCAGAAGGATATTTTATACCTCCCATATTCAGACCCATCTAGACTACTGTTCTACAATATGGGATGGCTGTCCAAGTTCAGTCATGAAACGGCTTAAAGCACTTCAAAATAGAGCTGTACGCTTAGTCAGTAATGATCATGGAAGAGACCTTTCCAGTATACATAAAGCTCTGAAGCTGCTACCCTTCCATAAACGATTACTTTTCAGTAAGGCTAAAGTCATTTACAAAATCTTATCTAAAAATGCTCCAGATTACCTTTTGCCATTCTTTAGGTATAATTGGCGACATAGCAAACGCCTAAACATATTACACATCCGTAGACCTAGAATAGACTTGTACAAAACAAGCTTGGCGTACTCTGCAGCTCATCTGTGGAACCATCTTCCACAAACAATCAAAAATATTAACAACCCCTATAAATACAATTGGAAGCTTTTTGAATATTATTTCACTTCAGACTACACGCTCCCTTAGAAGATAATAGTTTCATGAGAATATTGTTGATTTCCTCCAAGATTTATTATTTTTAGTATTAAACTTATTTTTAAATGTGGGCATACTTAGAGTACATTGTTACAAAGATGTTGTTAATGATGCTTATGAATATTATTATTATTATTATTATTATTATTATTATTATTATTATCTGCTAAAACAATGTGTGCATGAATAATGTATGCATGGCGTGAGGCCAGAAGGGCAGAATGTAAGACGGGCCTGTGTGCCCAATACTCAACCCTTTGAAAATAAAGTTTGTTCGTTCGTTCGTTCGTTCATTTTGTATCTCTTCAATATAGATTTTTTATCATCTCTGGAAATATTGTCTTGTTTATTCAAATACGCGTCTTT